TCAGCGAGCTGGCTGGGAGTCAGCCTCAGCTCCAAGAAAGTGCTGTGCTGGGACTTTTTGGAGTTTTGCGCACCACCCCTGCTGGCTGCTGCAGTGAAGCAAGGAGGTTGCTGGCAAGGCCAGAGAAACAGCTGGAAAACTGCATTCTGAGGAGGCATAGGGATGGGGGAAGAAACCCCGGATGGGTGGTCTTAGCTCAATATCTTCATGAGCCAAGTCAGGGCTAGGACAAATCCCTTTGATAGGGACAGAAGGAGCCAGAGGCCACAGGAATGAGGGGCAGTTTCATGCCATTGGGGGGGGTTGCCTAAGCCATTCTGTAGATTAGCCCAGGAGACAGCAAGGGGCAGCATGGGACTAGAGTGGAAGCCCCAGCCCCAGCCTCCTACCCATACCACACCTACCCCTGGGCCTCCAAGTCCCATCCATATCCAACCCTCTTATCCATGCAGCAGTGTCATTCAGAGACTCAGAAAGGACATGTACAGATTCTGGAGGAAAAAAACTCACTCAAGGGATGTTAGAAAACAGTGGTTTTTAATTTCACTTTTTTAAAGCAGTACATGTTTGCAGTATGCAATGCCTCATTTATCATGGGGAGTTGGTGTATATATAGAATCCGTCTTCTTTTCACATCCCTTCTTCTCCCTTCCCTTCCCTCTATCACATTGTACTCTCCTTCTGCAAAATATCTCATTTCCTGTTTCCTATCATCTGTTTTTTATTTTGATCTTTAATTTATTTATACTATGAGTTTCTTATATAAGAGAAACCATGATGTTTATGTGAAGAACTGTAAGGTTAAACATAAAAGCATCTGTTTGCAAACTTTGAGATCCCGTGGGTAAAGCAGTTTTCCCTGGGGCCTGGGAGAATTAATCTGAGGCTGCTGGACATAAACACAGGGCTGAACAGTCAGGGACTTGGGTTGAAGCCATGTAACTGCCCCCCAAGCTATCCTGGGGAAACCAGTGTTCACCTGGCTCTGAGGTTTTCCTTACTGGGCGAGGGGGGTGTGTAGGATACATGGTGGGGATGAGCTGGGATTGTATCTGAACACTGCAAGCAAAGTCAGTGCTCCTTGTACCACCATGACTGTGACTGGTTACCCCTGCGCACCGGGGGCTGCACCCAGGCCCTTCACAGTGGGCTGCGCCTGAGTGCCGGGACTGCAGGCGTGCACTGCCATGCTCCCCACAGCCCCCTTTTCCTCGGCTTATGGTTCCCATGTTGAGAATCAGGCAGAGCCCAGGCAGATGGCTGCTATCTACTCTGTGATTTTCAGGCCCCAAATGGAAAATTCAAAGTCTTGGAGGCTGAATCATCTGAAGATACCTTTGCTAACCATCTGATGGCTGATGGAGACCTTCTCTGAGTCTGGGACTAGGCTACCTCCCTGTGGCATCTTCATGTGGCTTGATCTTCCTTGTGGCACAGTGGACTGGTCCACATGGGGCTGGAAAGAGAAACAAGAGGGAGCCATATTCTATCAGCTGTTGGTGCATGGACTGTCAGGAAGCATCCTCCTGGGTATTCCGCTGGTCCAGGACCACCCAGCCCAGAAAAAGGGACTTGCCTGCTGTAAGAATGGTTCAGAAGATGGTGTGGTGATCTTTGGTAATTCAGAACTCACTTTCCCTTCCTTCTCCTCTTCTGAGGCCAATACTGATGTCACTGTTTTCAGATCTCCTTTATGCCTTTCCACACTTAAACAATGTAGTTTGATTGGGGACTATTGGGGGAAGGATATCATGCTCAATTTTTATATAAATAGGATCATCCATATATATTCCCTTGTATCTTGCAGTTTCACATAACACAAATTCATTTATTATTATGGAAGGACATTCCATAGTTTGATTATGTTACTGTTTTTTTTTTTAATTTCACAATTTCTCTCTTTTGATGGATCTTTGGAATGGTTCCTACTTTTTTCTATTACTAAACAATGCTGTAATAAATATTTCTCTATTAGATGTAATTATTTTCCAAGAAAGAGATGGCAGCAAAACCTCCTAGTGAAAGTCTGCCCACTTAATAGTTATAACGGGTACCACCAAACTTCCTGTGAGACAGGGCAGCAACAGAGCACAGGAGAACTGATGCCCTGTGCCCTGAGTGACACTTGATGGCTTTGATCTTTCAGCTCTTGTTTGTCTGGTAAGGGGGAAGGATGCATTGTCCATCCTGCTTTTAAGCGAGGGTTCCTTTATCTCACATTTCTCAGCCATCTGTGCTGCTTGTGGGATCTGCCTGTTAAAGTGCCTTGTTTTCCTGTTTAGTTTCTCAAAGAAACACCAACTCCAATGGTGAGATGATTAGGGTTTTTTTTTTGTTGTTGTTGTTGTTTCTTTTGTTTTGTCTTAAGCAACAAAATTAAGAAAGATGGCACAGACCTTTAGTGCTTGTAAAGACTGGCATCATTCTAGGTGAGTAAAACTACCCTATCATCAGAAATGTTCACTTGTGGTTTTTTTATTCTTCATATTTTAACTCACGCAATAACCTCTTGGCCATGTGAAAATATTCTAGTCATTTCACAAGAGATGAGGCCCAAGTTCATTTTTGTAATAGTGAGCAAAAATGTTCCGCATTACTTATTGCCTGAGACTTCTTTTCTGGGGAAATTGTTGTTTGTGTTATCCCTTAAAAATTCCAAACTTCTTTGTTTAGAGTAGCTTTCATGCTTGGTTGACCTTTTCTTGTTTCCACATTTACCTGGTAAGAAAGAACTCAGTTCCAATTTCCTCTTCCAATGGAGCTACATCTCTCTGTTGCATGTGTGACTTCCCGTGGCTCTGTGGGCCACCTGATATGATCCTCCATGCAGTGACCTCAGGGGGAGTGAGGGCAGGGAGATGCTGAGTGCATGTGTGTGATGTTGGTGTTGCTACTAGAACATTAAGGTTGTTTTTAATTTGTCACTTTTTAAAACTGTTTAGGACTTAGAGTACAAAGAAATCAACTCAGTGGGGCTGAATAGGCATGGGAGAGGGTTAGGAAGCCCTTCAGAGGGGAATGGTGTGGATAGTGCTGGAGGAACTGTGCTCAGATGCTTGGACATTCAGAGTAGAGGGAGATCGTGGGGGACGTGTGCCAGGCTGCTGGTGGCCCAATAGTGGTTCGTGTGAGTGGAAAAGGAAGAGGCGATTCTCAGAGTTCTCCTGTGAGCAGGCCATCACCAGGTGGCTACTCTCAGATCTAGGCTGCAGAGAGACAGCTTCGCCAGGCAGGGAATACCCTTGTCAGCCCAATGGACAGCTTGTTTATGAATTTGGCAACTTTTTGTAAAGTCCTCATGAACAGGTCAAATTTTGCTCCTACTCGGGTGATGATAGGACAAATAAAGGACATGGCTAGTTATCCCACATTTAAGGAGAAGGCAGAGATAGGTGACCCAGTGAGACATACACAAGGGCATCAATCATATGTACTTGAGCGTGGGAGCAAAGCAGGGTAAACACAGATGGATGAAGGGTAACTGCAGGGTATGGGGCAGTTGATTGATGAATGCTCTGTCCCTGTAGAGAAAGATAGGGTCCCTGGGTAGGGTCAGAACAGAACAACAGGCATTCTAAAAGTAGGAGAGCCCAGCCTCTGTGATGGTGCTCTGAGACAGTGAACAGCAGGTAGTTCCTTGGTTTTACCCCCAAAGCAAGCAGTCTGTGGTTTTGCTTCTGCTGCTGTACAGATGACACTGCATACCTCAATTCTTTCTTGTGCTGGTTACTGTGCTTACCCAGGTTTCCTTATTAGTCCACAGAACTCAAACCCCTAGGAACAAGCCAATGACCCCAAGCAAAAAGTACCCATTCTTGGAAGAAGGAGCGCCCAGGCTCTGATCCCATAAAACAGATCCTCTGTCCCATACTCTGCAGTTACCCAGATCTGGACCCCCAGTCCTCACAGTGGCTTTGACTGCTTCTTTTTGCAAATATACTTACTTTCTTTTTCACATTGCACTGTCTTCTGATTTCTCTTTCTTTCTTTCTTTTTTTTTTTTTTTTTGTGAGGGAGAGAGAGATAAGCCTGGGAAAGTTTGAGGGTGGGATGGTACTTCAAACCCCAAGCTGTGAGTGGGCTGCTCAGAGATGACGGCTTTGGCACAGTAAGGGTGGCAGTGAGCAACACAGGGAGGTGGCAGTCAGCAGAAGAGAGAGTAGGGGCTTGGAGCCTGGCCAGAGCAGGGCTGGTGGTGTGTGAGCACAGAGCAGAGGCTGGAGCTGTGAAATTGTGCAGGAAGAGAATTGGGAGGCAGAGGGCTGTGGAGCAGTGCTTGCTAGGAACTCTGGGAAGGGAAAAGTGAGACCGTCTGCTGTGTCCATGGCGAAAAGTAGGGATTTTTTTTGCTCTGGGGATTGAATCCAGAGCTTTTATACTAAGCCATGTCCCCAGACCTTTGTATTTTCTGAGGTAGACTCACTAAATCACTAACCTGGACTCAAACCTGCCTCCTTCCTACCTCACCCTCCCTGAAACTGAGTGCTGAGATTACAGGTGTGCACCGCTGGAGTCCACAAAGCAGGGCTATTTTGAACCCGGCTGATGACTGAATATCTGTGATTGGATGTGTGGTTCAGTGTATTTGGTTTGTGTACATGAAAGTCTATCTCCTTTCAATGTCTATGTGTGTGTCTCTGTGTCAGTTCTGCAGATTCATGTTACTGCATACTATGTGCCTGTGTGTGTTCACCTGCATATGTACCTGAGTGATCATGGATGATGCATGTGTTTAGATGTCCATGTATGTGCTTATGTGTTTGTGTCTTATGTCTGTGAACACCTGTAATGGTCTACACTTTTGTGTGTTTTCCTGATAACACACATGACTGGACTACATTCCCAGGGGAAACGAGCCCGAATTGAGAAGCCTAGCCTGGCTCTTAGGCACAGAACAACCGTGTCACTGGTGACATCACAGAGCAAAGCCAGGAGCCTAGTGACTGCAGCAGCCCAGGGGCCACTCGGGCCAGGGCCAGCTGGAAGGCTCAGCACTGCCTAAGCCAAATCTCACTCACAGCCACGGCACAGAGCACAAGGTGCAATTTTAAATCATGAGACGCCACTTCAAGGACCTTCAGGGAGAAGATTCCACAACTGATGGGACCACCTTCAGTGTGACTAGCCCTGAGTCCATGGAGGGCAGTCTGCAAATGTTCTGGCCAGGTAAGGAGAACTTGAGGGCCAGTGTGAGCTGGATGGGCACCCAAGGAAGGATGCCCTCGGGTGCCAGGTGATCCCTGACCTAGACTTGGGTGTGTACCAGAAGAGGTTTCAGGAGCTATGTGGATGGAAATGTAAAATGTTAACCATTGTGTATTTATTTCAATGCAGATTGGATAAAACAACATGGCAATGTGTGACTCTGGCTTTGACATAACGATGGAGGTCAGGGTGTCTCCACACACAGCCTGTCATGGTAGCAGTGCTCTTGGGGCAGAGTGACTGCCTCAGGCACTTACACTCTGTACCTCGGTTTCCTGCTTTGTTGAATGGGAATCAAAACCCACAGCTATTAAGCCTATTAAACCTCACAGCTGTTTTGAATTTTAAGAGTTCAAATATGGCATGTGTTTAGATGGCAGCAGGGACACAGTAAGTGTCAATGGAAGTCCCAGGAGAAGGTGAGATGCCCCCAGTGAGATAGAGACCCACCACAAATGGTGTGAGGAAGGTGGGGGCATCCCTGCTCTTTAAACCTTGGCTTGGAGCAGACTTGTCTGTTACACAGTCACCAGCAACTGTGACTACTCCCTCTGGAGACCTGTGACACTGGTGCCTTCTGCACCACCATAGCCACAGCCCACAGAGCAGCATCGTCCTAAGCCCCAGCAGCCTTGTGCACCTGGACGGCAGTCTTGCCAGCTCCTGGCAGCCTGTTCTATTCCTGTAGCTTTGCCTTGCCTTTCCTACACTGTCACCTCACTGGCAGCGGTCCCATGTGGCCTTTTCAGTGTGGCTGCTCTGTCTAGCACATGTGTCACACACACATACTCAGTCACCTTAGTTTACCCGAGTGGGACTACACAGCACCCGGAGCACCTATTTCATGAGGGCAACACTGCTGTCTCTGTATTCCTCAGCTGGTACCCTTTGGACACTCAGTCGAGTTCTTGGATGGTAACATATATCACTGCCCTTAATCATCCCACAGGATAGGCACTGTCACCCAGCGCAGCAGGAAACAGGCAAAGACAGGTGGCTGTCCAAGGGCCCCTCTGTGCCCACAGCTCCCGGAGGCAGGTTACACCCTGTCCCTATCCATCAAGAGCGCTGATGCCTTGTCCTTGTGCTCCACAGAGACCGCGGGGGGGCCAGCATTGCCCCGTATAGACAACCTCTCCCCAAGGACACGATGGCGCATCTCGCTGGGCTGGAGTCCTTCCTCACCATCATCTGTGTCCTCTTCCTCATACCACTCCTACTCCCCGCGACCTTCCTGGCTCGGGTGCCCTCGGGAGGACCGGGACCCTGGCCCACGAAGCGTGCCTGCGCTGTACACCCGCGTGCAGACCGTGCGCGGCGTGGCCGTGGCCTGGGAGACCGAGGCTGGCTTCGCGCCCATTAGCAGCCAGCCGCGCATCCGCGAGGCCCAGTTTCTCAGGCGGCAGCGGCAGAGGGGCTCCTCCTTTGAGGTGGCCTCCAACACCGATCTGCGCGGGGACCTGGAGGCCTGCGGTGAACACGAAGGGGAGCCTGAGGAGGACGCGGGATGCGAGAACACGGAGCTGGAGCAGGAGCTACGCGAGCCACCGGACTCGCTGGTCACCACCAGACATGGGTTGCGCTGTGTCGCCTGCTGCCGCGTCTTCCCGTCGCTGCCCGCCCTGCTGGAGCACGCACAGCATGGCGTACGCGAGGGCTTCAGCTGCCAGATCTTTTTCGAGGAGATGCTGGAAAGGAGGCGCGCGCGGGGCCAAGGGCAGGACCCGGAACTCGAGGGCAAAGAGCCGAGCCCTGAGGAGGGCAGTGAGCAGTGCGCCTGGCCCCGCCGCGAGGACCCTGGGTCGCGCCAGCAGCAGCGGGAGTAAAGTGCAAGGGAGGTGACCCTCTGTCTAGCGCCCCTGACCCTCTATCCAGCCCCCCGGGCCGCCCCTCTTCCAGCCAGCAGGATCAGAGCCTGGGCGCAGGGGATGGAGTCCCTCCAGGGCAGTTTTTCAAAAACCCCAGTGCGAAGAAGAGGGCTTGGGGTGTTTGCCCTGGTGCAGGACCTGAGAGGCACAAGCCACAGGGCCTCTGATTTTTCAGGGGGCGCTACTGGGTCCCTGCTTGCTGTACAGGTTGTGGATCCCAGGCAAGCCCACTGCAAATGAAGCTTCAGCTCTATTTTTACATTGTTAGGAATCCGTCATTTGCCTGAATTCCATTCTTGTTATTGGGATTAAACTTGAATAACTCCAAGTGTGGACGGCAGCGACTCTTTGAACCGTACTATCAGGTGGCATCCATAGAAGGGGCTGTTTGTAGGTGACAAAGTGGCACAGGCGAGGGGAGGACGGCAGCTTCACAGGGTGGAGGCTGGGCCGGGGAAGTCTTGATCTGAGTTCCTGCCTATCCTGTACAAGTCCAGTAAATGTCACCTACACCCTCCTGCCAGGTGCATTCATCAAGATAAGATGTCAGTCCTGGCTCGCCATCTGAGCTGCACCTGCCAATGGCTTGCAGAAGCCTTCACCCCAAGTGCTTGGGACCAGAGGACCCTTGGATTTTTTAAGACACTGAAATATTTGCATATAAGTAATGAGATTCAGGGATGGGGGACCCAAGTCTAAACCTACTACTCATTTGTATTTTACATGCAGCTTTACACATTTCCCTGATGGTAATTTCATTTCTAGCGCACCTCTGTCTTGACTGTGACAGCACAAAGACTTTAGAACACTTTTGATCAGAAATACTTACCCTGAACACCAAGCTCCATTATTCTAGGGGAAAAAAAATGAACAGACACCAGGCCGGGATGGACCTATCCAGGAGGATGGGGATGCCCAGAATAGGGCCACATACAGAGATGGTGGGTCAGGATGGAAAACCTCCCCAAAGGCCATGGTCGTGGGCCTTGGAGGACAGGTAGACCATGGCAAGAGACTTACTTCCCCAGGTACAGCACTGCAGATAGCGCCGGTGAATGGTTCTTCTCTGGGAAATGCCCTGTACCCACTCGGTGCCACCACTAGCATTCCTTCCCACTGCAGCTATGACAACTAGAAATGTTCCCAGGTGCTAACAGCTGTTCCCTGGGGATGGAGTTGTCCTTGGGTGAGAACATACGGGACCTTAGAATAAAAAGGAGATGAGACAGGACATTTAGGGACAAGCCACTTGACCTGGCTGCAGTGCTGGGTTGTTTATCTCTCCAAACACTCTGTAAAGATTTGGCATCTGAAGTATTAACAGAGACTGGAAGGCTGACGTGGGTGCTGCCCTATGAGCTTGGGTGCCTGCTTCATGATCTACAGCCTTTCCTGCTGCTTCTGTTACCATCTCTCAGGTCCTCTGCTCCCATTCTGGGCTCACCCTGAGTGGAGCACAGCCCTCCATCTGTCTTTGGTTGATCCTGGGCTCATCTGGTGTTGCAGTTTGATGTCTCTTTGCTAGAGGGGCCTTCATCAGGCTGCCTAAGTATTTGCTTGCACAGCTGGCCTGAGAAGGGGCAAGATCAGATCAACACTGCAGAGCTCTCTTTAGTGGGGCATGGGTTGAGATAGTAGCACAAGGAGAGATCATTAGAAGCCTCCTGCAGAAGTCCAAGCCAGGAAAGAGGGTAACATTGACAAGACAGTGGAAGATCAAAAAGGGCTTTGGGCCTTGAAACCTACTCCCCAGGACAAAGAGCTCTTGAGAGATTTTAAGCAAGCTGCATTTGGATTTGCATTTGTGAAAGATCACCCTTTCACAGTAACAGATAGGTAAGAACCAGCATTGCTGTGAACAAGGTAAAGAGCAGGTGGCAGGAGGAACATGAAGGAAACTTAGACGACTGAAACTATGGAGATGGCTCCTGTTGGATGAAGTTGGTGGGAATATGCTGTCCAGGATGACTGCCAGGCATTTGAGGGTGGGTGTTGAATGTTGGTGCCATTTACAAAGAAATAGGTACTTGCCTGGCAAGCTACAGGTCCTGAGTTCTATCCGTGGTGCCACCAAAAAAAAAAAAAAAAAAAAACAGGAAGGGGAAGGAGAGAACAAGGGGGGGGTGGGGAGGAAAAAGAGAAGGGGCAAACACTGGCTGGGATGCTTATGAATCTGCTTTTAAATAAGCAGAGTTTGAAACAGAAACATCTGGAAAGGAAGCTGGTTCAAAAGGTGTGGTTCTTAGAAGCCTGGTAACCAGGATGGAGGTGGATTAGCTGAGGCCCACAAGCCTTGCCTTGGTTGCATTCCCTGCTGGCCCAGGGCAGCAGGAAGCTGTGAGTCACTGCAGAATGGGTATCTGCTGTAAGGATGATGCTAGTCTTGTGAAGATTCAGCCAAGGCCAGAGGCTTTCTCAATTTGCTATGAAATGGGCCGGCAGATTTAGAGGGGAGAAGCTCAGCATGATGACCATTGATGTAAGCCCAGCCCTCAGGAGGCTGAGGCAGGAGGATCTTCGAGAGAGTTTGAGGCCAGCCTTGGCTAAAAAAATGAACTTAAGTTCAGCTTGAACTGCATAGAGAGACCCTGTCCCAAAAAGACTGAAAAAAAAAAAAAAAAAAGATCTAGGGGGGAGAAAAAGGAGCATGACTTTGTCAAATGTTTCTTTGAAGAGGTGCAGGATATTGAAGGGACGTGGTACGTAGGTTGAATCCAAGAGCAACTTAAGGGACAGGGAAGCTGCTCAGACAAAAAGTACTAAGGAAGGGAATATTTAAATGTTGATTAAAATATTGAATATTAATGAAAATATCAGCAGATGAGGAAATTCACATGAGGCATAATAGCTACTAAGGTCTGGAATTCCAATTTTCAAGTGAAAAATACAGTTGTATGCTAAATGCTTATATTTGAAGGGCTAGGCATTGTTTAAAACAATTTACAGATTAAGCCACATGTGTGCTGTACAATCCAATGAGCTGTCACTCCCGTTATCATTCATGTCTTATTGGCGAGGGAGCTGGTATCTGGCAGGGTCGTCGTATGTGGTGTGCGGGCAGAACCAGACTCACACCCAGCCAGCCCAGCCCCCACCTGTGTTCTAGCTGCTACACCACACCACACCACACCACACCACACCACACCACACCACACCACGACTCAAGCTTTCACATAAATACAGATGCGAGGCACACGGGAGAGCCAAGGTGTGTGTGTACAGGCTGTATTTTCTTTAGGTTGAGCAGCAGCAGCTAGAGATTCTGGAAGAGAAGATGGATAGTTAGGACAAGCGCAGGATGATACTGACCCGGATGACATACACTCTTGTTGGATGACTTCAGCTGGCATGGATGGGAGAGGAGAGGACAAAGTAGTGACTTGCTCTTTATGCACAAGTGTAATTCAACAAAGTTAAGTATTCATTTGTGACTTAAATATTTGCCAACAAATGCAACCTCCACAGGGAAGTATCAGGGTGAGGGGAACACTTCTAGAATATTCAAAGGATCCTCAGGCATTTCAGATCATGAACCACTTTTACTTTCTCAAACCACAGGAAATGATAGAGCTTGTTTTATGGAACTTACATAAACCCAATTACAAAAACCAACAAAGATGCACTAAAACAAAAAAAAAATGACCTATTAATCTCATTTATACACTTAATTTTTTTGTGGTGCTGGGGATCAAAACCAGGGCCTTGTGCATGCAAGGCAAGAGCTCCACCATTGAGCCACATCCCCAGCCCTAATCTCATTTATAAATAGAAAAATAATCAAATTTAAAAGAATGTGAGAGAAGTAATTTATCACACAGTAAATTTAGCATCTATCTCTTCACTAAGAACAGTTAAGAATTAAAACTGTATCAAAAAATGCCGCCCTCCCCCAGCCAGTACACTTCAGTGGTCCAGGTGACAGTTCCAGTTGCTTCAGTTTCTTAGAAGTGGACGATCCCTATGATGCATAGTTGGTCACTATGATGCAAACTTTAGAAACTAGTGAGGACAGCCAAGTACTCTATCTCCCCTTTGCGACCCCATAGAAACCTCCTCCGTGGGCCTTGGAGACCTGGCATTTTTATGAGGATTGATTCCTTGTCAGTGCCTGACCAACATGGAATAAATCTGTCTCCAAATCCTTGGCTTTGTCTGTTTCTGTTTGCCATTGCACTAATTCATACTGAAAGATCATTCTTATGATTATCTTAATATTAAAAGAACGGGATAATATGGACCACTCATAAGATTATAATCAGTTGCTTTTTCAATAAAGGTACTGAGATAATTCAAGAGGAAAAAGAATGTTATCAGCAAGAGGTACTGGAACAATTGTACACCTGCATGCAAAACAGTGGAGTTGAATCCCTATCCCATGTATAAAAATTAACTCAAAATTGAAAAGACCTTAATTTAAGAGCTAACATTACAAGGTTCTTAAAGGGAACATAAACATACATGTCAAGAATTGCAACATGATACAAATGGATGAGCCTTGCAAATATTGTCAAGTAAAAGATGCCAGACACAAAAGGCCAAGCCATCCATAATTTTGTGTATGTTGAATATTCCAGAAGGCAAATTTATGGTGACAGGAAGCAGATTAGTGGTTACTCGGGTTCAGGATTAAGGGAGGGATCTGTGAACTTTTATGTGACACGTTCAAATCAGAGCACTAGGTAAACATACTCATGGAAATACAGAAAATGCAATTAAGTGTCCAAGTAATTATCTCTAGTTGGTGATTATTGATCTTATTTTCCTCTAGCTCATAGTGTTTTGTGAGGGTCTGTATTAGCACAAATTCCTTCTAGAACAAAAGGCAGCAAAACATTTCATTATAACAATATTGCAGTTTGCACAAACTTTGGAGCCTTTCCTTGTTCTTATCTGTGGTATGAAGACCACACTGTGAGAAACCCAGCTCTCACCATCTTATTCCTTGGTCCTTTAAAATTGAGTTCTCTTTAATTGTAAGAAAAATTATAGTAGATGAGGACCCAGCCAGCCACAATATAGTGAAATATCAA